CTTTTCATGGAAAATGTTCTTAAAATGTGGCCCTTGGACTAGAAGCAGCAGCATCACTAGATAATTTGTTGGCACTGAAAATTCTTGACCCCACCCCCACCCCCACCCTAAGCATCAGAAACTCTGGGGATGAGGTCCATCCATTGTTTTTTTGTTTTTTTGGTTTTTTTTTTTTAAGATTTTATTGGGGAATTGGGGGAGGGGAACAGTGTTGGGGAATCGGGGAAGGGGAACAGAGAAGCTGCTGTCCTTTTGTTCTTCAGTCTAGGTGTGGAGGACGTCATTTCCCTGGCCTATGTTGGTATTGTGATCATTGTGCTCTTCCCAGGTGAGGCCTCTGGGTGGCCATTCATGGCGGTTCTTAGCAGCTTGCGGTGACTCTTGGCAGCTCACGGTAGCTCACGGCAGCCCCACTGCAGCAGGGGCTGCAGCCTACGCTGGCGCCAGCGACTCCCCGGCAGCCCAGCTCCACGTGGAGCTGTTGTTCACCATCTTAGCTGTAGAGGGCGCAGCGTCACTGGCCCTCATGTGGGATCTGAACTGGGGCCCTGCTGCTCAGAGCTGATGTTCCAAGCCAGCTCTTAACCAATGAGCTACTCGACCGACCCTCCATCCATCAGTTTTTAATCAAGCCTCAAATGATTCTGATGTATCTTAAAGAGACATAGGCATAGATTGTATCATAGAATATGGATTGTGCTTAGAAAGATACAAGGACATATTTGTGATGCTACCAATGTATAATAAGCAGTGCTGGCAGGAGCTGGGGGAGAGAGGACGTATACAAATAAGGAAAAAAATAAATGAAGCTTTTCTTGTGATTTCTAATCTATTGTCTAGATTTTGTCTTTCCTAAGTGATAAACAGATGCCTTGGCAAAAGCAAAACTGGCTCATGAAGCTCTGATAAAAGATCTCAGGAAATATTTGCTTCAAATTTTGCACAACTATTTGTTCTAAGGGAAATTTTTATTTTTTTCTTTTCAGCTAAATAGTTTTTATGACACATGAATTTTTTTTTTTTTTAGCTAAGAAAGAAAAGCTACCTCTCACTCTCAGAAAACACACACCTACAAACATTTGTACATAGATAGACATGAATAGGTCCTATGTAAGTCTGTCTTTTACTGTTCAAATTAAAATTATGAGTAGGTATAATATATTGATATATATAGCAGATATGTAAATTTAGCTAATTAATGGTATGTGTTTCCTTGCTGAAATTGAATTTTAACTATAAAATTCAGTTTGAACATTATGCCAAAATGCCCTAGCCATTTTATGTGTAAACTATTTTTTTCACGTGTTTGACAGAAGCATGGCACTGTGGGATACCTGTTCTGATCAACAGGAAGACATTGATAGCTGTTCAGAATCTGTGAAGTTCGATGCTCGCTCAATGACAGCTTTGCTACCTCTTAGTAAGTAGAAGGGTGGGTGCCCAGGGAGGTGGTCCTTAGAGTTATTGACATGATGTGAAATTATAGTCTTGGGACTTAAATGTGTATGAAGTGTTAAAATAACACTTAGTGGATAAATAGGTCTTTCCCTCTCTTGAGAGAAAATACAAAATAAATTTAAAATAAGGAAGCATTACAATAGATTAAATTAATCCACACTACCGATTGAGTTTTCTGATTTCCCAGCCACTGGAATAAGTCCTGGAGATGACAGATCCTAGCACCCTGAATTAATATTTAAAAATCATGGGTGGAAGGTGCTTCTATTAGCTCCCTAGGGCAGCTGTAACAAATTACCCAATCTGGGTGCTTAAAACAAATGACATTTATTCTCTCCCAGTTCCAAAGGCTAGGAGTCTGAAGTCAAGGTGTCAGCAAGGCCATTCTCCTTTTGAAGGCTCCAGGGAAAAATCCTTTCTTGCCTCTTTCTAGCTTCTAGTGGCTGCTGGTAATTCTTAAGACTGTCCCTTGGCTTGTAACCACATCACTGCGATCTCTGCCTCCATCTTCACAAGATCTTCTCCCCTGGTAGCTTCGTGTCCTCTTCTCATAAGGGTATTAATCATTTGATTAGTCCCACCCTAATCCAGTATGACCTTACCTTAACTTAATTATAATACCTGCAAAGATACTATTTTCAAATAAGGTCACATTCACAGATATCCGGTGTGTTACGGTTTCACCACTATCTTTGAGAAACACAATTCAGTACATAACAGTGCTAAAACAGACATTTGTATGGGTTACCACAAGGCCTAAAAAGAAGAAGTATTTGGCTGTCTCTGGACAGGGTTCATTTAAAGTATCAGGACAGAGGTGCTTTAATTCTGCTAAACCTTCACTATATTTCACCAGGGGCGTGGGGTTGGTGGGAGAATAGCCGTAGACATATTTCTGTCAGAGGAAGAAACAAATGCAAAGTTACAACATCTTATATCAATTCTTACATAGACAAGCCTGAAATACAGACCCCAAGGCATGTTGGATCCTGTGTGCTGTGCTAAGGATGGATGGGAGGATATAGTACCAATGAAACAGAAGGGGAAAAGATAATAGTAAAAGCTTTTAAAGGTAGAGATGTTGAGAGATCCAGGAAGGAGGACATAGGAATTAAGGACACGGAAAAGGCAAAAAAAAAAAAAAAAACACAACAAAGCAAAACCTTTTTGAGAGCTATTTAAAAGGAAGCATACAGATAATGTGTGATTGCAAATTCGAGATAAGTGAGAAAATGACTCCTGGGCTTTAGGCCTAGCCAACCTGGCAGATAGAATATCCCACCTTGCTTGTAGTATGGATTGGTTGTTCATTTTCTTTTTCCTTAGATCTTCCCATGTTTTTTTCCTTCCTTTATTTTCTTTTACTTAATTGTTTTTCCTTTCATGCCTTCATAGAACACTACTGAACAATGTCTGAACTTTTGTTTTTAATTTAGAAGTTTACTAACCTGAAAACATTTACTTCTTTTTTACTGAGCAATAAGAACAATGGCCATAGGGGGGTAAAAAATTTAATACCGTATTTGCCGGCGTATAAGACGACTGGGCGTATAAGACGACCCCCTAACATTTCCACTCAAAATACAGAGTTTGTTATATACTCGNTTTTTTTTTTTCCTGGAAAAAAAATACCAGTGTTTCATACAGTTCATGATTCACCAACCTCTGTTATATGCTGCCCCAGTAAACAAACTAAACTTCCTGTGGTACACTAAGGGGAATATTTTTCATTCATCATTCCACTAAGTGGATTTTAGTGTTCATCTTCTTTCCAGCTCTCTACTTCTGTTAGGGGTTTTATATAGCCCATATAGGGTCAGTTAGGCTAATCCGTTTGTGGACCATTATTAGACTGTTTTCTTTTTTAAAATTTTACTATATCTACACAAGAAACCATAATGTGAAATGCAGTAATCTATAAATGTTTATTATCATCTTTTTAAGACCAGAAAAAGAGAGATCAAAGCTTAGAGGCCTAAAGAAAAACAAATTTGAGCTTAAACTCTATTTCAGGTGAAAGGGAAATAATAAAAATATTTAATGGACACAAATATTTTATTACTAGTAATATAAAACAGGTCAGTACTGTCAAGGCAAAGAATAATTTTTTACTTAATTTGTATAGGTATATTTTCCTCACTTAAAAAAAAATTGTATATCCCTGTAAGTTAAAGACCACATTCCCTAATCATTTGGGGTATCAAAGCACTTGTGCATCAAATGTTTCCAGGTAAGAAATGTAGCAAATGTTTTTTTGAGATTGTTCCCTACTATTTTCACCAGGATCTGTGTTGTTTAAATTGCATCACGCTGTTAGCTAATACAGTCAAGATAAAACAGGAACCCAGATAGATGTTTCAAGGTACCTGGACTGTTCATTTTTGCTTTTGCTACTTTTGCTTTTGGTGTCAGAGTCAAAAAATCCTTGTCAAGACCTGTGTCAAAGAGCTCACCACCTATGTTGTTTCAGGTCTTTGATTTGAGCCTTAGATCCATTTTGAGGTAACTTTGGTGTATGGGTAATGTAGTGGTCTGTATAGGTAAATCTTCAATATTCTATTTTGGATAGGTTGGGAAAGCCAGATCGGTTTATACAATCAAAGTGCAAGAAGAAATTGATGAGTAGGATGCCCTCAGCTACATGGCTTTTTGGCCTCTTCTTCTGGGCCTGCTGCCCAGAGCTCCTGCTTCCATAATGCTGATCCTAGTTCCCATGTTCTCCATGTCTTCATGCCCTTTGTCATATGTTTCATTCCTGGAATGTTCAAGCCCTAACTTTCTTCTCAGTTTTCAAAACTCTTATAATGTGTCGTATCTTCTGTAACCAGCTGACTACCCACTTTCCCAAAAGAGTTCATCACTCCCTTTTGGACTATACCTGTACTTCGTAGGTAAATATATCACCCTGTCTGGTGATAACTTATAAAGATTTTAGTCTTCTGTATTTGTACATAAGATCTTTGGTGGTTGAGAATATTCTATGCACATTGATTTTGGCATTTTATTAACTTGCAAAGTATTTGATAAAATGGTGTACACAATAGGAAGTTGTTGACTGGCCTGAGGAGGGGATAGGTTTTCCCTTCTTAAAGTCATTGATTGAAAATATTCCAGTACTTACCATTTATTTTTTTTTCCCCATGATGTGACATCTAGCATGCTAGAGCCACATTGAAGAAAAAAAAAAAGAAAATGGAATTCTTCCTTTCTCCCAAGAAAAGTCCTTAAACAAAGAGCCAGGGTTCTAAATTGCAAATTTATTTGAAAGAATATGTGAAGCTTCTAAGCAAGTATATGGATAAAAAATAACATTCTCTTTGATTTATTGAGGCCAAGATTAGATCGCTGGATTATCATTCTGGATTTGTCACTCTTTTTTCTCTTTAAAATAAGATGTTTAAATTTTCTGTAAGAAGCATTCATACACATTTTAACAAAGTTCTGATGTGTGTGTGTGTGTGTGTGTGTGTAAAGGGCTAAATACACAGGAAGTAATTTGAGAGATATCCCAAAAAAACAATGTGAGGAATTTGTATTGTTGCTGAAGCTCATGAAAAACAATTTTTTTTTTCTTGAAAACTGATCTTCATTAATACATGTTAACAGATTGCTCAAGGCAAATCTTGCAGAACAAGAGAGTTCCTGACTTGACATCCGCATTCGGGATACATGTTGAAGACTGGTTCTCAAAGAGGGTTGGATGTTTGGAAATGTGTGGGGATGAAGTTTTTGGATTTTTTTTTTTTTTTGCCAGAGGAAAGCTGTAATATAATGATTAGGAGGCATTATTGACATTTAGTGGATGGCAACCAGGAATCATAAACATGTTACACAACTAAGGCAGTTCTTAGCCAAAAAAAGAATTGTCCCAACCAAAATGCTAGTAATGTTCCCTTGAGAACTAATGCAACAGGATGTGGCCATAGCTAGTTGCCAGTTGGACCTGACAAAATGAAAATACATGCTGATTAGGAACAGGCTAGAGACATGCTGATTAGGAACAGGCTAGAGTGAGTGGCAGTATCTCAAACAGTGTTACTTAGTCACACAGCCTTAAGATTTGGTTCATATTCAAGGAAGCTATAAAAAGAGTAAGAGTAGAATAGGGAAAATAGTATCATGTTTATCAAGAAGTTTTCTATCAGAAGAAGATCGCCTTTTTGGTGCCCCTATCTCCACACCTCCATCTCGTTTAAAATACAAAAAGAAAACTAATATATGAGACTAATACCTTACAAAAAACAAATCAGATCCTTCATTCAATAAATGTTTCTTTTAAGTATATTCTGTATTCCAGGTTTCTTTAAGCTCTGGTAATACATATTTAACAAACGCAGACATGGTCCCTCCTTTTGTGTACCTCACAGTCTAGAGAGATTTATCAGATTCAAAAGGTTTCACCTTTTACAAAAATATTCCCTCTCTAGAAGATTGAACAATGGAAGAGATGTTTCCTTTCTTTCTAAGTGAAAATGGAGTCATAATGACTCAAATATTAGGAGCAAAGCCATAGTCAGACACATTGAGAATAGGTCAGTAAGTAGCGTGAAAGGAGATTTCTAGTGACATAGCAGGTGTATCTAAATGCATACTTTGTGAGCCCATCCTTTACAAGCTGAGTTCAAAGTTAAAAAACTTTACCACATAGGCCCCATTGCTTTGGACAATAGTTTTAAAAATTAATTTAGCTGAGCTTTATTATTATCTCAGTTTTTAAAATCATTTGTACATTTATTTTGCTTGGCAAGTACTATCATTCAATTCAAATAATAGAGTGAATTAAAAAGGGGAAAATGTTAGGAGAGACTAGATCTGAATTATCCAATTTGGTTTCCTATAATGGTCAATTTCCCCCGATAATTATTTATTTATTTTACTTTGCCTCTGCATAAGAAAAGGGGACATAAGTCCTATAGCTTCCTTCTACACTTCTTTCCTCCACAGTAGCCAATTATTTAAGAA